GCTGTCGCCAAAGCACGGCGAAGCCGCCGTGCCGGAATTCCAAAATTGGCCGAAAAGGCACTGGATCTGATTTGGGGTTTTTTGGGGACATGTGCAGGTACCAGAAGTGTGTTTCAGTTTTCAGGGAAAAATTCAGAGAATCTAGGGATTGCCCGTAGGCGCAGTGAGAACCCGATTTCAGACTCCGAAACAAGTAAGGATCTCTCACCCTATTTCCTATCACGACATTAAAGCTTAATAAATGATAAAACGATATTTTATGAATTAATAAATATGTATAATTAATTAAGATTGCTAATGGAGCCCCAATCTGATGTATTTTTCGGTCATGTGTTGTTTCATTTATTTTACAGTTTTAAATGTAGTATGGTGCCTGATGTGTTTATTCTATGATTTCGTATGCATGAATCACGGTTTCATTTATTATGATTTGAATTATTGTGAACCCGATGTTGTGTTGTCTTGTTTGGTGTCCATTACTGGTTTACGTGTTTATGTTTGATTGGATAATTGAGATTAGGAAAATAAAAAAAATGTATGTGAATTGATAAATGGATAATGTCGACAGCCTAACTAGATATCCTGGGAGATGGTGGACGGATCAGCTCCATAGGGAACCCTACCGAGAACGTGGTCTCTCATATCGGACGGGGTATGAAGACTTTATGTATTTTGGCACCCATATCGGATGAGGTATGGGGACAGCCCATTTCACCCTCATACCAGACAGAATATTGAGGTTTATAGTTTTGGCGCCCATACCGGACGGGGTATGGGGACAGCCTTGGAATTAAGTTATTAATATGAATGGTTCACGTGTAGTGGGGACCCCCTATGGATCCCCACAGATACTAGTAGGCTGATAAAAGAGGAAATTTGTTGCCTGATGATTGAAATACAAAAGTATGATATGTGTTATGTTACAAAATGTGCATGATCTTATGATGTTTATGATGTAATTATTTTCATAAATTGTTTTCATGAATCTCACCGAGGTAAGTGGACAGTAAAATATTTTATTATTGATAAATGAGTTTGTTATAAATTATGCTCAATTGGTCATTTTTGTTTTCTACCAACCTTTACTTCTGTAACAGTGAGATAGTGTGATGTCTTTACTGGGCTAGTGTAGCTCATTCCTTACTTAACCATTTCAGATCAAGAGGACTTGATTCCCGAGCCCGTTCTGCAGGAAGACAGCGAGTAGAAGCCTAAAAATTTATTAGTTTTCCTTATAGTATTCATTCATAGTATTTCCTTTAGTTAGTTTATTTTTCATATGTTTAATTCGTTTTGGTTATTGTGTAAGGGATGTTAATCATAATCTATTTTATTTCGCTTCCGCACTTAGAATAAATTTATACATTTCTTTTTAATTTTTGGGGCCGTTACACTATCAATAAAAACTAATAGATATGGAGTAATGCAAATAATTTTTTTTTTTAAAAGAGACTAACAAAGCAAAAAATTGTATAACGACCAAACCAAATAAAATAAAATAATACAAATACTGAAATGGTACTTATGTCTAATTTCGGAAAAAAATATGTGTGTACTGTCAATCCTAATCTACCCGGCTGTATTTCGTATATTTTATCCATATTAACTACATTTCCATATACAAAAATATGCAAAAAATCCTAATGTATTTATTACATACCCAAATTTGTTTCATATTTGTTTTTATGAAGGTCTATATACAGACCTATGGATGCACTCAAAGTCATTCAACCTCTATCTCCATATGCCAAAAGCTCTATAAAAGATCCATGAAATCCTCTAAAATCCCTAAACCAATTCTTGTCACTCTTTATCTACTCGCTAGTATTACACCTTTTTCTAACATATCTCCATGAGAGATCACTCATATCCTTTCTGATCAAGTTATCTAGTGTTGAATCAACTTTCAAGTGGCTAAGGTATGTGTGTTTTAGTAAAATATACAAATCTGATATCAAATTTCTCTCTCTAATTGTAGTAAATTTATTTATTTATCTATTATTATTAACAATTTTTTGTTATGTAAAAAGGTGTTTGTGGTTTTCGTCTTGACTCCACATCGATTTCGTGATAGATTTACTCTTATATATGAATGAGTTTGCCTATATCTATATTTATGTATCTAGATAAGTAGATACATGGATAGATACCATTAATTTTACGATCCTCTATTTTTTTTTGTTTGTATAAAACCTATTATAATACTAGCTAATCTCAACCTTAATCACTTGTCGTCACAATTGATTTTTTCTACTCGATAGTATGTTTGCTAGCACCCATAATATATTGGTCGAGTTTTCCGTGTGCATTTAAGCATAGTCTGTGAGAATGCTTC